TATGGTTTTCAACAAGATGGTTTTCAAAAGAGTCACGATTATCAAAAGATTTTGATAAAATGGTTTTTCAAAATGATTTCAAACTCGTTTTCCCGAGGAATGCTTTTCAATGAAGATGTCCAATCTTGAAGTGATAAATGGCCTTCTTTCATATTCCCTTCATTTGTAGAAAATTATCCATTGTTGTCCCCCTTTGAGACTAATTAATTTCTTTTAATAAACCCTAATCAAGGATCACCCTCCACACTAGGGGGCAAAAGGTGAAGAAGGATCAGCCTCGAAAGAAAGGCTTTGCACTCAAAATTCAATGGGGCATCCCGATAGTAATGAGTAAAGTTCACAACGAGGCATCAAGTCCATTCCATCAAGAAATTCAAATCAAAAGTCAATAAAGATGCAAAAAAAAAAAGGATGAAAAAGTGAAAATTGAAAGTGAAAGGGAAAATTAAAAAGAAAGTGAAAGGAAAAAGAAGGTATAAGATGGAGCAAAGGAAAATCAGTATGATGAGATCCTTCACGTGACAAAAAATGATCCTTGATTTAAAAAACCCTCAAATTTATTCTTTGAGCCTTTATATCCTTTCTTTGGCAACCTAGAACCCTAGCCTACATTACATGCCTAATAAAAGTCCATCTTTGATCAAGTGAGGACATTTGAGAGGAGATTTTTCCTCAACAAAAATAACAGTCCCTTTTTGCAAAATGCTTTGGGTCAAAACTTTTACAAGATTTTTCGGGTGAGTTTGTAGTTTTTCAAGTGCACAAAAAAATGAAAGAAAAAAAAAAAAGAAGAAAGAAGAAAAGAAAAAGAAAAAGAAAAGAGAGAAGGAAGAAAAGAGGCTCTGGGTGAAAACCCGAAAGGGCAGTCTAGAGCAAGATTGGGAAATCAAGGAGTCACCCACAGTTTCAACAAGGAAATGGAAAATGACACCTCCATCATATAATGAACAACGAGTTTCTTTCAAGCATCAAACGCTTCAGCTCTCCAAAAGAAAGTCGATTCTATGAACCAATATCTCTAGTTGACAATTCTCAAATCTCAGACCTTTGACAGAGTGTTGACTCAAATCATGTCTCATAAAAAGATTTCAAAACAAGTTTAATTCGATTGCATTTCATTTGTGAGTTCAATATCAAAACTCGATTTTCAAAATAAGATTGCATTCCATTTGTGAGTCTAAGATCAAAATTTGCTATTCAAAGGGCATTTTAGTGGTGATCATCAAGACTCTTCAAAGTTCAAATTTAGCAAAGTATTCAGAGAAAATGTGTTCTCCCAACTTGAACTGTTTAGGGCATATATTTCATAATAGTCATATAGGGGCAATATTTAGGAACTCATGACATGTTTCGAAAAGTTTTGATCACGTGAATCTTACTTATTTGAATTTTAATTATTGATCAAATTTTGTTACAGAGAAACAAGGGAATGGATACAGGGAATAGCGAGATCAACAAAAGAATCTTTCGAAGCATATTATTCAAGTCAGATCTGGGCAAAGATGAAGATATCAACATGAACAAGAAAACAAATCCAAGGTCAAAACAAGGTTGCAAGAAAGCAACGTCAAAGAGCAAAAATTCAGAATATCAATCAAGAAGTTTTCAATTACAACATCAAAATCAGGGTTATTTTTCAAAGGGTGGTCTTTCTTCAATTCTTCAATTATTCAATACTTCAATTTACTTCAAACATCCAGGGTGATCTTTCTTCAATTCTTCAATTATTCAATACTTCAATCTACTTCAAAAGATCCGGGGTGATCTTTCTTCAATTCTTCAATTATTCAATACTTCAATTTACTTCAAAAAGATCCGGGGTGATCTTTCTTCAATTCCTCAATTATTCAATACTTCAATTTACTTCAAAGATCCAGGGTGATCTTTCTTCAATTCCTCAATCATTCAATCCTTCAATTTATTTCAATGATCCAGGGTGGTCTTTCTTCAATTCTTCAATCGTTCAATGTTTCAATTTACTTCGATGATCCAAGGTGGTCTTTCTTCAAATTCTTCAATGCTTCAATTTCAATTCTTCAAATTCAAATTCAATTCTTCAATTCCAACTTCAATGTTTCAATTTCATTTCTTCAAATTCAATCCTTCAATGTTTCAATTTTAATTCCTCAATGCTTCAAATTCAATTTCAATCTATCAATGTTTCAATTTCAATATTTCAATGTTTCAATTTCAATTCTTCCAGTTCTTCCAATTCGATCCTTCAAAGTTTCAATTTCAACATTTCATTGCTTCAAGTTTCAATTCTTCAAATTTGACTCTTCAACATTTCAATTTCAATTATTCAATGCTTCAATGATCCAGGGTGATCTTTCTTCAATTCTTCAATTATTCAATGCTTCAATTCCTCAATTATTCATGTGAGACCCCGACCCAAGACATCCTATATATTATTTTGGGCCCAAATACATCTTAAATTATGGGCTAAAAACCCATTAAGTAATTAGCATAGTTAGTCATATATATATAGACTTTCTTTTCAAAACTAGGGTTAGATAAATTGGGAGAAGAAGGAGAACAGCCAGAAAGTTTTGAAGGCTAATTTCATCACTTTTCCATCATATTTTCGTGCTAAGAGGTTAGTTTTAACAACTTCTTAATGTTTTCACCTTGTAAGCATGCATTAGGGTGGGTTTTGGTTTGAAAAAGAGAGAATTCCGGTCACCGGCCGCCGACCGGCGAGCCTCCAGCCACCAAATTGGTATCAATAGATTCCATTAATCATTAGGAGTTCATAGAACTTGAAATCACTCAATTTGGTTGGGTAAATCAAAAGTTATGACGAAATTAAGTTAAGAACCCTAAGTTGAAAATTGTGATCGGTGGGCCTACTTTCCTTGCCGGAATCCGGCAAACCGAAGATCTTTAGAGTCCAAACTTATGGGGTAATTGTAGTATGATGTAAGCTCTATCTATTGGTACTTTCCATACCTCCATAGGTGTTTTGAGGAGAGAGAATCGAAGCTCCAAAGATGGCTGGTCGATGGGACGAATATGGAATTTTCAGATTTGTTCATGAAGAAGATGAACAGTAATTTGCGATGCCCACTCTCGGCCAGATATTGAATCGGAGAGTGTAGTTCACCCCTAGGTCTTTTTGAAGTGAAATTTGATTGATTTTCTCAGAAAAATATTTATGTTTGGCTTGATTTTAAAGAATTAGTTTCTGAAATTTTGGTGAAAATTATATTATAATATCAATATTATTCCTATGTTTTTAAAATGGAGTTCCACTCTCTTGAAATTTCGAAATCTATTTTGAATGGTTATTTAGATAGTAAAAGTGAGTTAATGTGGAAAATTTCATGTGTGTGTTTTCTAAATATTTTGAAAATAAATTTTCATCGGTCCCCCAATGTTATTTAGGATTGGTTGAAGGGTAGATTGAGCATGCATAATTATTTTGTGAAATTGTCGTTTCTAACGAATAATTATAAATTGTTAAGATTGTAATTGTGTTTATCTTGCTGTGGATTTTGTGCTGTGATTGCTTTGCTAATCAGGTAAGTTTCCGAACCTTTCTGGTTATTTTCAAAATGATTGATGTTTTATTATTTTTGAACTATTGAAATGGTTTCGTAAAATGGGTCAAGCATGAAAGGTAAAATTGATTTGGAATTTTTGTATTGTGAAATTGATTTGAGATTGTGAAAATTGGTTTTTGGGGACTTTGATGGCTACATAGTGAACCCGTGCCTCAGGGGGTTAAACTGTTGGTGGTTCCGGAATCTATTACCGATCGGTTGAAATATTGTGTATCGTGATATCGTGTATTGTGGCAGCCTGATAAGAACTCTACTGAAATATTTTTATTGTTGATTGTGATTGAGAAATTGGTTATAAAATATTGTTTTGCTAAATATTGTGATTTTTGAGAAAATGGTTTTAAGTGCTTGATCCGGCTAGTTAGGTTTTGTTACTTACTGGGCTCTTTAGCTCATTATGTTGTTAATATATTTCAGGTGATGACGATTGAGCATTGGGGTGCATTTGGGAGAGTGCGCTAGGATGAATTAATTAGACTTGAACTTTATTTATAGTATTGAACCGCTTCCGCTATTGATTAATGTTTATTATTGGGATTGTAAGATAATTTTGTTTTAAGAGATTTTAAAGATTTTAGACTTTTAATTATTTTGGATCGATAGTTAGCCTTACATGCTCATGGGGTTCGCCTCGTGAGTGTGTGGCGTTGTTATGTTTCGAGCGTGCGGGTTCGGTGCGTGACAATTTAGTGGTATCAGAGCTTAGGTTGCGACTTACTAGGGTCGAATTTCGTGATGAGTGAGGAATGGGTAGAATAGGAGTGCATATGCATACTTATGATTGTGATAATTGGTTTATATTGATTGATAATCAAATTGCTTATGAATTTTGTATTGTATCGTAATACGCCGTCTAAGAATACGGAAATCAAAATGGGTTCATACCGCCAAGGTTGCAGAGAGTTCGAATGTACATTATCTTGTATTGATGATATTGCGGAAATGAGTTTACCTACTGATTCGGTTGTCTTAGCTATGCATGGAATTGAAGTTATATTGGGAATGGATTGGTTGGATAACTATTATGTCGTCTTAGATTGACATAGGAAATGGATAGACTTTCGCATCCCTGGTCTTGAGGAATTTAGTTTTGTTGGTTGCCCTGCTAAATCTCCTCCTAAAATTGTTTCTATGCTGCAAGCTAGACGTTTGTTGAATAATGGATGTTAGATTTTCTTGTTTTTGTCCAAAACAACCTTGATGGTGAATTGCTAGTTTGAATAGTATATCGATTGTAGAAGACTTTTCTGATATCTTTCCGGAGGACTTGCCTGGTCTTCCACCAGATAGAGAAGTGGAATTTTCTATTGATTTAATTTCAGACACTACACCTATTTCTAAAATTCCTTATAGAATGGCTCCAACTGAGTTAAAGGAACTAAAGGAGCAGTTGCAAGAGTTGTTGGATAAGGGTTTCATCCGACCAAGTGTTTCTCCATGGGGTGCTCCTGTTTTGTTTGTGAAAAGAAGGATGGTAGCATGAGACTTTGCATTGACTATCGAGAGCTGAATAAGGTGACGGTGCGTAATCGGTGTCCTTTACCGCGTATTGATGACCTTTTCGATCAATTAAAGGGAGCCCAAGTTTTCTCTAAGATTGATCTTAGGTCTGGCTATCACCAATTGAAGATTAAGGTGGCGGATGTCCCTAACTCAGCTTTTCGAACTAGGTATGGGCATTACGAGTTTCTTGTTATGCCATTTTGTTTAAGTAATGCACCAGCTGTTTTCATGGATTTGATGAATAAGGTGTTTAAGGATTATCTGGATAAGTTTGTAGTGGTCTTTATAGATGATATCTTGGTGTACTCTAAGAGTATGGAGGAGCATGGAGAGCATTTGAGGTTAGTATTGCAAATTTTTAGAGAAAAGAAGTTGTATGCTAAGTTTAAGAAGTGTGAGTTCTGGTTGGATGGTGTGGCATTTCTTGAACATGTAGTGTCGAAAGATGGAATCTCAGTAGATCCTGAAAAAGTGAAGGCAATTGTAGAATGGAGTCGACCTACAAATGCTACTGAAGTTAGAAGCTTCCTTGGGTTGGCTGGTTACTATCGGAGGTTTGTGGAGGGATTTTCTAGTATTGCAATGCCGATGACTAAATTGACCAGAAAAGGTGCTAAGTTTGAGTGGACTAAGGAATGTGAGAAAAGTTTCAAAAAGTTGAAAGAACGTCTCACTTCAGCTAGTGTTTTAACCGTTCCTGATGGGAGTGGAGGATTCACTATCTATAGTGATGCTTTGAAGAAAGGTTTGGATTGTGTCTTAATGCAAAATGGGAAAGTTGTGGCTTATGCTTCAAGGAAGCTTAAACCTTATGAGCGGAATTATCCTACACATGACCTGGAGCTCGCAGTAGTGGTGTTTGCACTCAAATCTGGAGGCACTACTTGTATGGTGAGAAGTGGGAGATTTTCACTGATCATAAGAGTTTGAAGTACATCTTCACTCAGAAGGAGATTAACATGAGGCAACGAAGATGGTTGGAGTTGTTGAAGGACTATGATTTAACTATAAGTTATCATCCGGGAAAGGCAAATGTTGTGGCTGATGCGTTGAGTAGGAAGAATCATGGCAATCTTGCAGCTCTTCTTACTTCTCAAAGGTCCATTTTGGATGATTTGAGGATGATGGAGATTGGAGTTAGGAAACATGGCACTGAAGGGATGTTGGCTAGTTTGAGAATTCAACCTACGTTGATTGAGAGGATTAAGGAGGGACAATTGGTTGATTCAACACTTCAAAAGGTCCGAGCTAATATTGAAACAAGTGCTCCGTCTGATTTTAGAATCCATGATGATGGTTCATTGAGATTTGGTGATAGGTTATGTGTTCCTAATGATGTGGAAATAAAGAAAGTGATTTTGGATGAAGCACATTATTCTGGATATACTGTGCATCCTGGTTGGACTAAGATGTATAGGGATTTGAAGGAGACTTACTGGTGGAACAATAAGAAGAGGGAGATTGGTGAATTTGTAGCACAATGCATTGTATACCAACAGGTGAAAGTGGAACATCAAAGGCCAGCTGGACAGTTACAGCCACTTCCAATACTAGAATGGAAGTGGGAGCACATCACAATGGACTTTGTTTCTAGGTTACCTAGATCACCTCGAAGCCATGAGTCAGTATGGGTAATTGTTGATAGATTAACAAAGTCTGCTCACTTCATAGCTTTGAAGGTTGGTTATTCATTGGAGAAGTTTGTTGCTTCGTATGTTCGAGAGATTGTTAGGTTGCATGGAGTGCCGGTGTCAATTGTTTCTGATCGCGATTCGAGATTTGTGGCTGAGTTTTGGGGAAGTCTTCATAAGGCCTTAGGTACGAAGTTGAACTTTAGCACTGCTTTTCATCCCCAAACTGATGCACAATCAGAGAGAACCATTCAGATTCTCGAAGATATGTTGAGGGCATGTGCCATTGATATGAAGGGTGCTTGGGATGACCACTTACCTTTAGTAGAGTTTGCTTATAACAATAGTTATAAGGCGAGTATCCAGATGGCTCCATACGAAGCTTTGTATGGGAGGAAGTGTAGATCGCAAGTGTGTTGGGATGAGGTAGGTAAAAGAAAGCTTTTAGGCCCAGAAATTGTCCAACAAACATTTGACAAGATTCAATTGATCAGAGAATGTCTCCGAACTGCTCAGAGTCGACAAAAGAGTTATGCAGATGTTAGACGAAGGACATTGAAGTTTGATGTGGGAGATCATGTATTCTTGAAAGTTTCACCAACCAAGGGAGTGATGAGATTTGGAGTACGTGGGAAGTTAAACCCTAGGTTTATTGGCCCTTTTGAGATTTTGGAGAAAGTTGGAGAAGTGGCCTACTGGCTAGCTTTGCCTCCATCATTGTCCGATGTGCATAATATGTTCCATGTGTCGTTGTTGAGAAAGTTTACTCCTGATCCTAATCATGTGATTGAATTGGCACCTTTACCGCTTAGGGAAGACTTATCTTACGATGAACAACCAATTAAGATAGTTGATCATAAGGAGCAAGTTTTGAGAAGGCGGACCATTCCATACATGAAAGTGTAATGGCGTAACCTCTCGGAGAGAGAGGCTACCTGGGAATTGGAATCGGAGATTAAGGAGAAGTATCCTGAACTATTTGGAACCAATGGTACGTAAAGTTTAGAGGACTAAACTTCTTTTTAGGGGGGAAGGATGTGAGACCCCGACCCAAGACATCCTATATATTATTTTTGGCCCAAATACATCTTAAATTATGGGCTAAAAACCCATTAAGTAATTAGCATAGTTAGTCATATATATATACACTTTCTTTTCAAAACTAGGGTTAGATAAATTGGGAGAAGAAGGAGAACAGCCAGAAAATTTTGAAGGCTAATTTCATCACTTTTCCATCATATTTTCGTGCTAAGAGGTTAGTTTTAACAACTTCTTAATGTTTTCACCTTGTAAGCATGCATTAGGGTGGGTTTTGGTTTGAAAGAGAGAGAATTCCGGTCACCGGCCGCCGACCGGCGAGCCTCCGGCCACCAAATTGGTATCAATAGATTCCATTAATCATTAGGAGTTCATAGAACTTGGAATCACTCAATTTGTTTGGGTAAATCAAAAGTTATGATGAAATTAAGTTAAGAACCCTAAGTTGAAAAGTGTGATCGGTGGGCCTACTTTCCTTGCTGGAATCCGGCAAACCGGAGATCTTTAGAGTCCAAACTTATGGGGTAATTGTAGTATGATGTAAGCTCTATCTATTGGTACTTTCCATACCTCCATAGGTGTTTTGAGGAGAGAGAATCGAAGCTCCAAAGATGGCTGGTCGATGGGAGGAATCTGGAATTTTCAGATTTGTTCATGAAGAAGATGAACAGTAATTTGCGATGCCCACTCTCGGCCAGATATTGAATCGGAGAGTGTACTTCACCCCTAGGTCGTTTTGAAGTGAAATTTGGGGGATTTGCTCAGCAAAATATTTATGATTTTCTGGAGTTTTATATGATTTTTCAGATTACAAATTATTTTATATAAATTATTCTTTTTGGAAAAATGATTGGGAGAGTGTGGCTTGATTTTAAAGAATTAGTTTCTGAAATTTTGGTGAAAATTATATTATAATATCAGTATTATTCCTATGTTTTTAAAATGGAGTTCCACTCTCTTGAAATTTCGAAATCTATTTTCAATGGTTATTTAGATAGTAAAAGTGAGTTAATATGGAAAATTTCATGTGTGTGTTTTCTAAATATTTTGAAAATAAATATTTATCGGTCCCCCAATGTTATTTAGGATTAGTTGAAGGGTAGATTGAGCATGCATAATATTTAGAAAATAAATATTTATCGGTCCCCCAATGTTATTTAGGATTAGTTGAAGGGTAGATTGAGCATGCATAACTATTTTGTGAAATTGTCGTTTCTAACGAATAGTTATAAATTGTTAGGATTGTAATTGTCTTTATGTTGCTGTGGATTTTGTGCTGTGATTGCTTTGCTAATCAGGTAAGTTTCCGAACCTTTCTGGTTATTTTCAAAATGATTGATGTTTTATTGTTTTTGAACTATTGAAATGGTTTCGTAAAATTGATTTGGAATTGTGGTATTGTGAAATTGATTTGAGATTGTAAAAATTGGTTTTTGGGGACTTTGATGGCTGCATAGTGGACCCGTGCCTCAGGGGGTTAAACTGTTGGTGGTTCCGGAATCTATTACCGATCGGTTGAAATATTGTGTATCGTGATATCGTGTATCGTGGCAGCCTGATAAGAACTCTATTGAAATATTTTTATTGTTGATTGTGATTGAGAAATTGGTTATAAAATATTGTTTTGCTAAATATTGTGATTTTTGAGAAAATGGTTTTAAGTGCTTGATCCGGCTAGTTAGGTTTTGTTACTTACTGGGCTCTTTAGCTCATTATGTTGTTAATATATTTCAGGTGATGACGATTGAGCATTGGGGTGCATTTGGGAGAGTGCGCTAGGATGAATTAATTAGACTTGAACTTTATTTATAGTATTGAACCGCTTCCGCTATTGATTAATGTTTATTATTGGGATTGTAAGATTAATTTTGTTTTAAGAGATTTTAAAGATTTTAGACTTTTAATTTTTTTGGATCGATAGTTAGCCTTACATGCTCATGGGGTTCGCCTCGTGAGTGTGTGGCGTTGTTATGTTTCGAGCCTACGAGTTCGGTGCGTGACAATTCAATGCCTCAATTTCAAATCTTTGACGCTTCAATTTCAATTTTCAATTCTTTATTGCTTAAATTTCAGTTCTTCAAATTCCAAATGACAATGCTTCAATTTCAATTTTTCAACGCTTCAATTTCAGTTCTTCAAATTCCAAATGCCAATGCTTCAATCCTTCAATGTTTCAATTTCAATTTTTCAATGTGTGAATTTCAATATTTCAATGCTTTAAATCCAATTCTTCAAATTCCAAATGTCAATGTTTCAATTTCAATATGTCAATGCTTCAATTTCTATTCTTCCATTGCTTCAATTTCAATTCTTCGAATTCAATTTTCAATTTCAATTTTTCAAAGCCTCCTTCAATGATTCCAAGTTGCTCTTCCTTCAATTCCTCAAACTATTTTCAAAATGATCCAGGGTGATCTTTCCTCAAAATTTCAAATAACTCATTTTTTTCAAGGTTCTTAAAGTTTCTCAATAAAAGGGGTGTCTACGTCTTTGCGCGCTTCCCAATTCTCAGAAAGTATACAAACTACTTCTTTGCACACTTGCTGATAGTTAGAAAGCTCGCAAAGAGGGGCAGCTGTAGACACCCATCTTTTATAAAATTAACCAATTAGCCAATTTTCTTTTCGGGGCATTTCGTTTGATTTATATAATTTTCCAGGATTTGTTTGGATCAATTTTCCTTCAAATGAGCTTAATTGTTTCAACGGTTTGAACTTTGGGGCCGATCCCATTAAATGCAAATGGGACTTATACTTCATTTCAGTATTGGGCTTGTAGTTTCCTTTTATCCATTTGGGCTTTCACCTTC